TAGAGCTGCAATAGACTTGGCATTTTCATTCTTTGCCAGTGCATAGAGAGCACCTAGCACTCCTGACCCATAAAAGCCGATCCCATTTAAAAGAGAGATGAAGGGGTTCTGGAACTCGTTGCCTTCAACTGTTCTTCGCTGACCACAATAAAAATATCCGCTTCAGAGAAGATCAAACTTGAGGAGACTGTATACAAAGCAACAAGTGTAATCCACATTGCTCCTAAAGTTTGCAGACTATATTTTTGACAAAGAGTCAGACCTCAGCTTCTTCTTCCTGATCTGTTGCCTTCAATTCAAGAGTTTCTGAAATAGAATCTACTTGGTGTTGGTCATTCCTTTGAGAAGTATATCATGACTTAAAGTGTAATCTTAGTAATTCAAGAAAGTGAAAAATGAGAAAAAGGATCACCCCCATTATAGCAAATATGAATTGTCCGAATCAATGTATAATCATAAAAAGAAAATGCTAGCACTTATTCTTAATGGAAAGTAGTCATCAATAAACAACATGAGCAAGCAAACATTTCAGAAGAACACGTCAAGCTTGGTTTGTTACATTTAGCATCAGAGAGCACAACCCATCGATTCAGTGGAGTGGACAAAGCTGAAAAGGTTGCATTTCAGACTCGAAGATGTGGAGCATCGATCAGATGTTTGGATTTGGACAGGTATTCAAGTAAAAAGATTTTCACCAACAGATCACTTGTAGTCTTAGTGCACTAAAGGTGGTATCTTATCATATCCAGATTGATGCCCATATTTGTTCTCCTCCCTATGGAAACATTGACAAATCCAAATACTGAGAGATGATGGAAATAATTTTCACAGCTATGGACCTATGTACAATATGATACCATATTGCTTTTTTTGGTATACGAACGACTTGGAGAACTAGCTACACTGATTGTAAAGTTATCCTAGGTGAGAGTTTTGTCACCCAACATAGGATGCTTGTGCTTGATTGTCAAGGTGAGAAGAGAAGGCACGTTAAGCATCAAGTGCAGCCAAAGATAAAGTTTTGCACACAAAATATTGAAGGAAGATGTATGATGTGTTGATAATGACGCACATGTAGATGATGTGTGGTTATAAATCGAGTCGACCATTAACAAAGTGGCAAAAGAGATACTCGGGGAATCTAAAGAATGTCTGGCATAAAAAACACATCTTGGTGAATGGTAGACATCCTGTCAAAATTGGATTCTTTTGTTGGAAATTCCAAAAATGTGGGCCCCATAGTTTCATATCACATTAATGCCTCATCTAGAGTATAAGCCTTGAGGAAAATGGAGCTATTTGATGGATAGGGAAATGTAATGACACTACACAATTGAGAGAGCCAATTAGAGTATGAGGAATGAAAGTTGAACTGGACAGATCATTTGAGAGCGCAACAATTTTTTCGGTTTTGGTAGGGGTGCCATTAGAAGCAACAGAAGATTACATTTTTGCCCTCTGCCCACACTTCACTCATCCACTTTCCTTCTGTCCTGAACTATCAGTAGAAACTTGTTGTCCTCTTCTGCCTTTGCCTAGCATTTTATGCTTAAACTTGAAATTTGTGGCAGGAGAGTATCGACTGTAGAGGAAGGATTATCTCATGAACTAAAGTCTGATTTACTTTCTCTTCTCCCCAAAATTTTCTTCTCATCTCCACTGTCGTCTTTGCTTCTCCCCTAGTTTCCTCTGTCATTCTGTGATTTCTAGCTTATTTCTTTCATATTGAAGTATCAAGCTTGGATTGTTACAGATTTTTATTATCTTGAAAGTAGTCACTTCTCAATTAGAAATCCTAAGTGGTGAGCAGTCATACGGAATATAAACAGGATTCATCTTCAAATTTTCCCTTCATTAAAGGAATGTAACTGGGTAAAACCCACCTCACAGTATAATCGATCGATATGGGTAACGACTACCTCAAAGTAACATCATGACTTCAAATAACCGCAATAAGCAAAACCCTAACTAAGTGCAAAAAGACTAAAGTAGTCGACGCACCTGCTGACGGGACTTCAAGAGCTCTTGCTCTTAGTTGAAGAAGCGGAAGAACTGAAATACCCGTGAAAAGGATCACCCTCCTGTTGCAGAAATCGCGGTCGTTTTGAGTTTCTGCTCGCACAAGCGCCGAGGCTAAACGAAGCTTTCTCCGATTCTGAGCATTCCTTGGGGCGAGGAAGAAGGATGAAGGAGAGGGAGAAGGGGATGAAGGGTGTGGATACGAAAAGGGAAAAGAAGAAGAGGCGAAGAAAGAGTGATGGCATGGCGATTGCAGCAGGCAGCTAGGAGACCCCATTGCAAAATGTTGGAACTTTTATTCTTGTTTGGGGTGATAAGCAGAACACGTCTACTGCCTTGAGGTAGCTATCTCCCAAACTTCCATTTTTCAATGGCGCTCCTGCTATTCTGTTCACAAAACTACAGGGGGTGTCCCCAACCTGGACTTTAAATGATTTTAAAGGACTGTAAATCTCATGGATTTTAATAGACTTCTGGAGATTCCATAGAATTTTAATAGAATCTTGTGGAATTCTATATCATAGATTTCAACGGATTTGAATGGATGTCAACACATTTTTTTATATCCAATCTTTCGGTTTGATGCTGCATTTCCTACTTTTATAAAAGATTTCAATGGATTATGCTGGAATATATGAGACCTAATAAGTTAATTGACCTTTTGATAAGAGATACTCCGTATTGATCTGTACACATTGTTTAAACATAAAAAAGAAGTGGAAAAAGCTCCTATAATTTACAATCAAATGTTCTTATGAATGGATGTGACCGTGTGGAAAAAGAAGTGGAAAAAGCTCCTATAATTTACAATCAAAAAGAAGTGGAAAAAGCTCCTACAATCAAATGTTCTTATGAATGGGTGTGACCGTGTGAGTTTAGACCATCACAAAAGAAGCAGCACAACCAGATGAATGCGTTGAGTGATTGTTGATTCCGTGACTCCAAGTGAAGGCGAGAAAGATACAGGGAGAAGAAACTTTTTAATGCGATGGATTTGAAAATCCGAGGGTTAGAGGTGAGATTGTGTTGGATTTGAGTTATTCTATTATTTGGCATAGAAATCCATTACAATCTTTTAAAATTCATAAAAGTAAATTAATTGTGAAATCCATGGAATGTTTGTGGATACCTGGATTTTTAAAGACTCCATTGAAATCCAAATTGAGGATACCCAAATTTTAATGGAATTCTAAATTCTTTTAAAATCCATCAAAATCTGTGTTGTGGACACCCCTCTACGTTTGATAAGAATCCATGTAACCTCTTAACAACATAATGATATTGTTAAATTTGTCTTGCTCCATCCCTCTAAAATTTGGTCAATTTGAGTCTCGTGCAAAGAAAAGAAAATTAAGTGAAATCGCAACTTCTCGAGTTTTTTTCCGTAATTAATTAATTAATTACGAAATTAGGGCTGGGTTAAAAGTATTTACCAAAATACTGCTGGATTAACCATGGTCGGGGTAAGTTGCCGAACGGTTGGGCGACTTATAAGTCGCCAAACGGTTTGGCGACTTATAAGTCGCCCAACCGTTGGGCGACTTACCTATTAAATAGGCAGACGGGCTGGGTCTGCGAGATAGAACGCAGTTTTACTCCCCCAAACCCCCAGCTGCAGCGACGAACGAAGGACGAGCGAACCCATCTCTGGCGACGCTCCATCTCCAACTCCGGCGAAGTTCCATCTCCGGCGACCCCATTCCGGCGAACCTCCATCTCCAGCTCCAACACTCTTTCTTCTTGATTCTAGGTAAATCAAACTCCATTTCATCTCATTTTGAACCTAGGGTTTTGAATGTTAAAATTTTCGAATTTTTGGATTATGAATTGATTGTGAATTCAGTTGTTGTGAAATGTGGATATGTATGAAATGTTGAAATTTGATTTTAAATTGATTGTAAATTTTAATGTGTATTTTGACATTTGGGCATTTGGATAGACTCGATTGTAGCTAAATTTGGATATTGAAATGTAGACTTGAATGTAGTTATCAAAATTTGGGTAGTTTCATAATGAGATGTGAATTGTTGGTCAATTTCGACTTTTGAATATATTACAATTTTGGTAGCTTTTTTATTTAGGAAATTTGAATGTGTATAAAGTGTGTATATGTGACACCGCACCCGAACGTCCTTGAAAATTCAATTTAAATTCAAATATATGTATCGAATTTCCGACTCCAAACAATTGTAAAACGATTAATGTTCTACGTAGTGCATGGTTGAATATCGTACTATTCAAACTCGTACATTAGTGTCGGGTTTTGCAAATACTTATTCGGGACTTATTAATAAATAAAAAGCCCAACATTATCTAAATAGTGATACATAATCTTTCAAGACAATTTGAGGAAGGTTGGGCGGCCCAAACATTATTTGGGGCCCAACCTGCTAAAAATAGCAAGTATTCGAGAATGACGTTCTAGACCCACTCGGGAGTGACCCACACGGCTAGTAGCCCAATAATATGTATGACAAATGTCAAATAAATGATAGAATGATTAAAGAAGAATACAAATGCCTATAACCCCATCTTTGGCATTATTGAGCTAAATAATGGGAGTAGGATTTTCCTGCTATGATATCCATCAAGTAAATTATCGTAATGAACCTACACATATTGGAGATCAATAATGTGATGGAGGAAGTTGACTTGTTCTAAATAAATTAGGATGAGTACAAAAAGACATCTTTGACAAAAGATAAAACTATAGGACCCATCTTCCCATTTTTGGAAGTATTGATATATATTTTGGACCCCAAAATGATTGGGATCAATTGGGAACCACTCCACATGACTTGAGTACCTGCAAGACAAAGAAAAAATGGGTGAGATGACTATATGGGGCGAGCATGTTGACTTAAGAGCAATACATTACAAAAAGAAATAAAAGTGGAGGTCCACCTCACATTTGATTGCAAACCAATGTCTCCCATGCTCTTTTGTGAGCCACATGCTCTCTTAGCATGTTTAAGGCATCCTTTACACTCCCCCCTACACCCCATTCGAACTCCCCAAGATAAGAGAGAAGGAGAGAGCCACATAACCAAGATAAGCCAAAGAGAGAGCAAGCTGTCCGCAGGTTCGTTCTTCAGTGCGTAGCTCTGATTGTTTGAGCCATAACTCGAGATTCACTCGTCCAATTAAGGCGTATAAGATACCAAAAGAAAGCTCTCAAGACGAGGAATCCGTGGATGTCTGGTTTGCATCAATCGGAGTAGTGGAAGGCTTCCAAATCGTCCGAGCAAAACACAACCTCGCGGAATACGTTTTTGTATTCAAAGTAAGTTTGAATCCAAAACCTTCCTCTCTATTGTCTAAATCGTATAAATGATTGAAGAACTATTATACACTGATTGAAGTGTATAAAATGTTATTATAAAGTGACTTTAATTGTTGGAAAGGTTAGATACTAACCTAGACAAAACCTTGAAAGGTTAGGGAACGAATTCGTCGGGAAACACCCGTTCTAGGGACTGTTTTTGCGTCTTCGGTTAGGAGTTGAACTAGCATTTTGAGGGGGCTGTTTAACACTCAATTCCAAGCAAGGAATCAGTTCTAAAACCTTCTTGGCCGAGGCTTTGGTCGTTGGAGCGAGAAGGAAGGTTTTAAAGCTCATTTGAGGTGAGGACCGACATCTAGTTGCTTACAACTTGTAGGTTATGCATGAGATTACCTAAATGCTTAAATCATGTTTTTGTGAATAAATATGCTTGAACATGATATGAATGATAAGTAATGGACTTGATCATGAATTGAAACCATATTGATGAATATGGAGTTATGTGAGATAAAGGTATGTTAATATGGTAAAATGACCTTTCCAACTCATATATGAATGTTATGTGTATGTAAATGTATAATTTCATGATGATGCTTAGCACATGGGAGGCTGCCACATATCTATTGATATGGAGGGGCTACCATTTATGATAAATGAGTTGTAGGAATAATCTTAATAGTATTGTGATGCTAGTTAAGGATTGTTCAAAATGTTGATAGAATTAAACTTAAGGTTTGAGTTGTTTGTGATGAACTTGAATAAGATTCAAGTGTCAAGTGTGATTGTGTGAAGTAGGAGATCTATGGTGTGATTATATGAAGTAGGAGATCTATGGTGTGATTATATGAAGTAGGAGATCTATGGTGTGATTATATGAAGTAGGAGATCTATGGTGTGATTATATGAAGTAGGAGATCTATGGTGTGATTATATGAAGTAGGAGATCTATGGTGGGATTGTATGAAGTAGGAGATCTATGGGGTGAATACATGAAGTAGGAGATCTATGGTATGATTATATGAAGTAGGAGATCTATGATGCGAGTGCATGATGATGTACTCGAGCCTAACTCTAGAAATGAGAAGTTATATTAGGGTTGGACCCTATGTATTGTCGTGACTATTAGTCACGGGGTTTGGGAAATGTTTTATAACAAACACGGGCCTTTGAGCCGACTACTTGACTTTATATAAAGTAAGTATGTATTTTGAAAGGGGTAATCTGGGATTACGGCCTATACTATATTATCACCCTATTTGAGGGTCTTGTGTGTGAAATACTTGTTGTATATCTATTAGATGCCTGCCACACCAGCACTTTATAGCCCTATAGAGTGCTGACCCCTTCGGGGGCGTCCCACCACCATTTTTCAGGTTGAGGCTAGAGCTTGCTTCCTGTGCTCGTTGCTCGAGAGATCATATAGGAGGGAAGACTTGGTTCGTGCTTCCTCCATTCTGTTTTTAAACCTTTCTAAACATGCTCATGGATATTTTACTATGGAGCCTGTGTGCTCATGAAATGCCTTGTGTGGCCCTTTTGTTTTAAACAATGTTTCCGCTGCGTTATGAATTACTTATTATGTTTGTTTATGGATGTATATGTGTGAATGATATTCAAGACGCCTTGTATAATATGAATGTGTTGGACTGCGGTTGACTATTCGTATTGTACGGCGGGTTGTTGACGTGTCCGGATAGGTCCGGGGCGTGACAATTAAGTTGGTATCAGAGCCTTAGTCCATAAACTTCATAATGAAGTCTCAAAATTCTCTTTTCAAAATGTTTTTTTTGAAAACCATGAGCAAAAACGTTTTGTACTTAAGAACTTTTGGTGTTTGAGTTGCAAGGTCTCTAATTGTTAAGATGGCGCCCTTAACGATTGGTATGGCGGCGACTTGGCCCAAGAGATGTCTTAAGTACCTATCTGTCAGTTGACATTTGAAACGAGTCTAATGACTCATTCCAATTATTTCTTTCAGTGATGGAGGGTGATTGTGGTACTATGAATAGGGAGAACTCGGAAGGGTTTGCACCGGGTGGAACCGGGCATGCCAACCGAGAAAAGCCCGTAGGAATAAAGGTTCACGAAATTCTAGAAGCTCAAATCGTGAGTGGCGGTCATGTTAGAACCAATGAAGAATCACCTTGTCATAGCAAAATTGAAACACTCAAGGCTTCGGGTGACGAGGGAGATGATTTGAGTGATGAGAACCTTGATGGTGCACCCATTGAACAAATGGGCATGGTCATAGATTGGCTTCAACGTGAACATGTGAGGCTTATACAAAAACGCCAAGCTAGGCAAGCTGAGGGCATACCGTTAGTAAGGAAAAGGAGGTGGGGAGACAACGATTCCCAAAGACATTCAAGAAGGACAAACGTTGAGGGTGACAAAACCTTCAGGGCGCAGACACTATCACTTGAGTGGAGTCGGGGCTCGGGTGGCCAGAACTCGAGGTCAAAGGGTCCGAGGGTACCTAGGTGCAACAATTGCAAGAAACACCACTCGGGTAAGTGTCACGACCCTCCTAAGTGCTATCATTGCACAGAGGTCGGGCACACGAGAGTGAGCTGCCCACAAATTGTGCAAAACCAAACTTCGGGGTCAAGTGGTGGAACTACAAGAAATGAAAACCAAACCGAGGTTTCTCAAGGGAGCAGGGGACATGGGGGAGCAAGCACGAGCAATGCGCCATCCGTGAACCAAGGAAGGATCCAAGCTAGGGTCTATGCGATGACAGAGGCGGATGCTCAAGCTAACCCGGATTCCGTTGCAGGTATTGCCTCCCGTATACTAGTGTTTTATCCTTAATTAGTCCATAAATTAAGGTTACTAATCGTTGGGATCATTGCACGAAATTTTGGGATCAAACGGAGCGAAATCGGGCGAAAGACGGCTGATTTCCGCCAATGCACACTACGCTGGACCCTACGCACGGCCGTGCGTTGTCCGTGCGTTGGTCCGTGCGTTGGTGGCAGTAGCAACCGGGAAGAAATTGCTATACGCACGGCCGTGCGTTGTCCGTGCGTTGGTCCGTGCGTTGGTGGCAGTAGCAACCGGGAAGAAATTGCTATACGCACGGATGTGCGTTGTCCGTGCGTTGGTCCGTGCGTTGGTGGCAGTAGCTCCGTTTTGAGGTTATAAGACACGCACGCCGTGCGTACCTCCTAGGCACGCCGTGCGTACCTCCTGGACAGCCCAAAGTCGACTTTTTCGCGCCGTAGTGCAACGTTAAGACCCGTTCTTGATCCCAAACACGTGTGTGAACATAATAAACCTCTCTAAATGAGTAGGGAGGGTAGGAAAGATGTCTTACATGGTTCATGAATGTAGGGACACTAAAGATTAATGGGAAGGATGCGCGAATCCTTATCGATACCGGGGCGCAACGTTCATTTGTGAATGAAGCGTTCGCCAAGAGTTTGGAAGTGCAATCCGCACCATTGATGCAAACCTTAGTGGTATCAACACCACTAGGGGATGACGTGGAAACAACTCATTACTATCCATCTTGTGGGGTGGAAGTTAATGGTCAAACCTTGACGTGTGACTTCGTACCGCTGAGCATGATTGAATTCGATGCAATCCTAGGGTTGGATTGGCTAAAAAGGAACCATGCTAGGGTAGATTGCTACACGAAGGTTCTTAAACTCGAAGGCAATGATGGGGAGACTCTACGCTTCGAGGGCGATCAAGGGAGATCAAATAGCTGTATCATATCCGCCGTGAGAGCGAGAAGTATGATGAGAAAGGGATGCCACGCATATCTAGCATACGTGGTTGACAAAACCAAAGAGGAAACGAACATCGATGATGTGAGGGTGGTTTGTAAGTATCCGGATGTCTTCCCTAAAGACCTACCGGGGCTTCCACCTGATAGGGAGATTGAATTTGTGATCGAGGTCGAGCCTGGTACCAAACCAATCTCCATACCGCCATACCGTATGGCACCCGCTGAACTTAACGAGTTGAAAACCCAATTGCAAGAGCTTTTGGATAATGGTTTCATTAGACCAAGCCACTCCCCGTGGGGAGCACCAGTTCTTTTTGTGAAAAAGAAAGATGGGACACTTCGAATGTGTATTGACTATCGTCAACTGAACAAGGTCACAATCAAGAATAGGTATCCCTTGCCTAGGATTGATGACTTGTTTGATCAACTACGAGTGGCGACTATGTTTTCAAAGATTGACTTGAGGTCGGGTTACCATCAACCGAAGATTAAGGAAGATGACATACCAAAAGTGCTTTTCGCACAAGGTATGAGCACTTTGAATTCCTTGTTATGTCGTTTGGGTTAACAAACGCTCCAGCGGCATTCATGGACTTGGTGAATCGAGTATTTCATATATACTTGGACCGAATTGTGATTGTGTTCATATATGACATCTTAATTTACTCAAGGAGTGAAGAAGAACATGAGCGGCACTTGGTCCTGGATCTTGAAACACTACGAGAGAAGCAATTTTGCGCCAAGTTCTCTAAGTGCGAGTTTTGGCTTAAAGAGATTGGCTTTCTTGGGCATGTAGTTTCTGAGTCAGGCATTGCCGTGGATAACAAGAAGATTGGGGCTATCACATAATGGGAAAGGCCTAAGAACGTGAAGGAGATTCGTAGTTTCCTCGGGCTAGCGGGTTACTACAGATAATTCGTGGAGAAGTTCTCAGTTTTAGCATCGCCATTGACGAAGCTCACTCGAAAGGGAGCTAAGTTTATATGGGATGACAAATGTGAGAAAGGATTCATCGAACTGAAGAAGAGATTGACCGAGGCACCGGTACTTGCATTACCCAAACAGGGTGTGGGGTACGATGTCTATAGTGACGCGAGCATCCAAGGGTTTGGGTGTGCGTTGATGCAGGAGGGGAGGGTAACTGCCTATGCTTCACGACAGTTGAAGAAGCATGAGGTAAAATTATCCTACCCATGATCTGGAGCTGGGAGCAGTAGTGTTTGCACTGAAGAATTGGAGACATTATCTCTACGGAGAGACATGTCACATATATACTGATCATAAGAGCTTGAAGTACGTGTTTACTCAAAAATAGTTAAACATGAGACAGAGACGGTGGATGGAGTCGATAAAGGACTACCATCTAGTTATTGAGTACCATCCAGGAAAGGCAAACATTGTAGCAGTTGCCCTTAGTCGGAAGAGTTCGTCTGGGGCATTGTTGACTAGTTTGAGGGCACTGAGGGCCCAATTGGATGTATCTAGCGAAGGTGCCTTATTAGCACGATTCGAGGTGAACCGACCTTACTTGATGAGATCAAGAAGGGTCAAGAGACTGACGTAGAACTTATAAAGGCCCGGGAACGCATGCAAGCGGGACCGGTGGAG